GTTCTGTAAACCTTCAACCAGAGTACAATAATTAAATAAATAAATAAAATACGTGTAGTGAAATGAGTTCCTTTATGTGGCCTTTTGCCTTGGTTCTTTGGAAAAACAGCTTGGGACATTTTTTTCCCCTAAGCCCTGAGGAGTTAACTTTGCCCTAGCTTCTTTGGAGAAGCAGCTTGGCGGGGAGGAGTTGCCAGGTTGTTTTCTACCCCAGAGTTTTTGTTACTTTTGCCCAGAGATTTCCCAGGTTGACTGACACTTCCTTGGTAAGCTATAAACAACTTGATTTGATACTTTGTCTGGCCCTGGGCCACAGTTTGCCCTGTGACTGGTCTATTTTACTCAGCTTAACTGGAGTGGTAGGTTTACTAGCAGAGGAGATGTTATGTAAAACCACTACTTGCAGTCCCCCAAGGGAATCTGGTCAGCCATGGTCCTGCTGGGGAAAGCCAGATCTTGAAATTGACAAGGAGTTTGCTTATATAGTTGCCAACCCCACAGAGGTTTTTAGAGGAGGCCAGGTGGGAAGGAACCTCAAGACCAAGAAGAGCCTAGAGCAGTTTGGACCAGGGATTCCTTTAAGAGGAAGCTCCTAAAAAAGCTGTAAAATGGGTCAAAGGCTGTAACACTGAAGACAGTAAGAGGCCTAGAAAGGGCCTGGTGGCAGAGCTGGCAGCAACAGCAGAAAGCTGCCGCTAGGAGAGCAGCAGCTGAGCAAGCAGCTACACTGGCTATGAGCTGGGCTAGTAAGCACTGCAGAGGCCTATGGCAGGGAGACTGAAGACAGGCCTGCATGGCCAGAAGGGGGCCTGGGACCTGGGGCCTGCAGAGCCAAGAGGATCTGCTTGCACAGCAGAGAGGCCGGACAGTGAAGAAGCCTGACGGGAGATAGCAGCTAAGAGAGCTGAGCAAGCTGCTAAACTGGCTATGAGCTGGGTCACTTAGCAGTGGACAGGCTGAGAAGAGCAACTGAGAAAGCTGTCCTAGTTGGAAGCTGTCCTGCACTGAAGAAAGGAGGCATGTGCTCTCTACTTCAGAGGAGCCTTCCAAATCTTGCCTATGTACTTCCTGATCGTGATCTCGAGTTGTTCCTGTTACTTCCAAGTTGATCCTGAGTTGTAGCCTGTTACTTCCCTAGTAAACCACATTAACTGTGTATATGATCTGTGAGTCCTGTGTTGTCACTGCAATGGAATATCAAACCCTGCAGAGAAGTAGAAAGTGCTGTGGGGGGGCGGCTAGTGTCAGAAATTATGTGGAAGTGGAAAGGCAGAGACATACCTGACCTCTGCCTCACAGGAACCAGCTTTGTACTGATTCTGATTCATATCCCTCATGAATCTAGACGATTCCTTATGTTACAGTACACTATGACAATGAAACAATATTCCTGGCACCATGGAGGGAGAAATTATCACAAGAGGGATGATAAAGCTATGTTTTAAGAGATCAGTTTGCAGGCCTATCTCACATTCCTTCTAGGGCAAGTGCTCACTGACCCAAACCCACTGCTGTCAAGTAGACTGTGACTCACAGTGACCATATAGGACAGAGTAGAACTGTCCCATAGGGTTTGCAAGGAGCGGCTGGTGGATTTGAACTACTGACCTTTTGGTTAGCAGCCGTAGCTCACTGTAGTTCTTAACCACCATGCCACCAGGGTGGGCAAAAGCACTTGCTCCATTTAAATGACTTCACTCTCTCTTTCTTCTTCTCATCCTTTTTTGCTTATTTGTTTGTATTTTGGCTGAGTGCGTACAGCTGAATTTGGACAAAATTAAATGCTGCATTGACACGACCAACTCCACTTACTCCACTTATTAATTCATTTTCCCCTCTCCTTCTCTCTAAAGCCTTCCTTCTTTATTTTAATGTGTACTCAACCTGATAGGCCTTACATGCTCCTAGTGGCTTCATCCCATTGCTTATCCTCTATGTCCCCTTAGAACTCCTGAAGCACCTTGGAAGACATGAAGTCTGCTTAACAGCTTTTTATGCAAGTCCCTGCCAACCCTCACCAGCCTGGTGTTCCTAGTTCAATGCCCATCCTGTCACTGATCATGCATTGCCGAACAATGTTACCTGTTAGCCATGTCCATTCTCAGTCAGGCTGGATGGTAAACTCCTACAGGGCAGGGAGAGAACCACATCTCACACTCCTTCCAATCCCCCTCAGGTGGGATATCAGCTATACACACTTTAACTCAGGTCCTTGCTGGGTAAACCCACTCCAAATCTAAAATAAATGCCTTTCATCCCACCCATCACTTTGGACATGTTTCAGGAATCGACTCAGTGGCAACTAACAACGACAACAAGGGACTATGGTGCAGGCACCTTGGGATTCCCCTCTAATTCATCAGCCAGAAATGGAGCTGGTCACAGAAAGTGACCAACTCCTCTCGCCTGTGGCTCTCTGTCCCCATCAGGTACCCAACACTGTGTGCTTCCCCAGGACATCTGGAACCATGCCTCATTTATCCCTGGTCCTTGGTCCTGGCACCAGGTCCAGCATATAGCTGGCACTTGGCAAGCATTTGGTGAAAAGATAGACTATCTTTAGGACGCACGCTGCTTAGTGGTTTTCCCTTCTATTGGATGCCTCAACCCCCAGTCATCTGGAAGGCGAAAGGAAACCCTCATGACTAAGCTTGCCCAAAGACAAAGAAAACTGAAAACATTTTTTCGACAATGAATTTGGCAATTTCTTGCCAAGTTAAACAACTTAGTGCTGTAGATCACAAAATCAAGCTCATCTTCACCCTTTTCTAACCAACTCTCCCTTCAGCTTCACTATTTCCATCAAAACGACCATTCTCCACTCACAGGCCTGTGGCCTTTACACCATACTGACCAGTCTCTGCCGTTCATTCTCTATTAAAATCTAGTTACTCAAGTGCTGGTTTTTGCTCCTTGACCTCTCAGAATCACCACTTCCCATTCTTTCCCTTCTACTCTTCACCCCCCACCCCCATGTACAAGACCTCACCTGATGCGTCCTCTCATGACATCCATTCTCCCTAGCTCCATAATCCCTCCTCCTTCCCCAACCCTACATGCCACCACCAGGTTAAAACCAAAACCAAACCCACTGCCGTCGAGTCAATTCCGACCCATACTGACCCTATAGGACAGAGTAGAACTGCCCCACAGGGTTTCCAAGGAGTGCCTCGTAGATTCGAACTGCCGACCTTTTGGTTAGCAGACATAGCTGTTAACCACTACGCCACCAGAGTTAGGTAATTACTTACAAAATACTGTTTTCAGCTAATCCACCCCCTGCTCAAATAATAACTTCCCACTTCTTAAACTACTCAGTCTGTGTTCCTCTATTCTCATCCTAGCCCATATTCACTCTCAGATCCTAGGAACCCTAACTAATTTTGCTGCCTCTGCAGTCACTGGGTCTTGCCCCTCCCAGAAACTTGTAACTTTCTCGGCCCTGGCACAATCCTGGCAATGGTCTAGCTGCTGCTTATCCAAATCCCACACAAGGCCAGCCCAACCTCTGACATAAAGCTTTTCCCAAGGTCCACCCCCCACTGGCCTCTCCCTCATTCCCACCACACAACTGTCTCTAGCCCTCCTACACTGTCTTCCTGTTGATTCATGAACACTCTCCTGTGCTTAGTCTGAACAGCTGATGAGGAAGGCCAGCCACTCATTAGCTGTGTGATGCTCCCCAAGCTACCAGTCTTTCCAATCTCTCAGAACTGCTACTCTGATCAAATGAAAATTTACATGAAGATGACCTGTTCATCTCAGATTGGTAAGAGGGGTGTCCAGGTGGAATATTTCAGTATCCCTCTAATATGTGCCAAGTACTGGTATCACTGAAAAAGGTTAAAGTCTCAATAAACATCTATTAAATATATAATAGTGAAAGGAGAACACACTTCTCGGGCTCTTTTTCAACTCCTCCCTTGAACCATTCAGCAACTTCTCTGCTACAAAATTTTGGGTGACTGTGCAAGTATGTGTGAAGGAAAAAGAGGGGAGACAGTTTTTCTCGGCAAATCTGGTGGCAAAGGGGCCGATCAAAAGAGTGGGACACGAACACTAAGCCACATTCTGGACCAGTGGAGCGCACGGAACTGAGGAGTGGGGATTCCAGCGCGGGATCTCCAGCGGCCCTGAAACAGGGTCCACCAAAACCAAACCCATTGCTGTGGAGACCATTCTGACTCATAGTGACTCTATACGACAGAGTAGAACTGCCCCCATAGGATTTCCAAGGCTGTAAATCTTACGGAATCAGACAGCCACATCTTTCTCCCGCTGAGCGTCTGGTGGACTTGAATGCCGACTTTCTGCTTGGCAGCCGGGCGCTTTAACCATTGTGCCACAAGGCCTCCTTAAACAGGGTCCACAAGGGTACAAACGAAGCACGCGGGCAAAGAACACTTCGGACCAAAAAACTGGGCCACCTGCGCAATGGTTAGGAGCTACGCTGCTAACCAAAAGATTAGCAACTCGAATCCACCAGCCGCGCCTTGGAAACCCTATGAGGCAGTTCTACTCTGTCCTATAGGGTCGCTGTGAGACGGAATCGACTCCATGGCAACAGCTTTGGTTTGGTTTTGGTTTTTCTTTCCAAGGTTCACGTCCATCATAAGTGCAAGCAAATGCAGGGGCGTGCGAAGATTTCAGGCCGGCGCGCAACAAAATCACTTCTCATCAGACCAGGGCGGCCCTGATAACCTTCGCCTAGCCCCGCCCGCCCCTCAGGCCCGGGGCCTTACCGATCGAGATCTCCTGCGCGAAGGCGAGCGAGATAAGCAGCAGCGGCAGCCCCACGGCAATACACGTGATCATCTTGTCCACGGCCAGCTCCAGCCGCAGCCCCTTGAACTTGGGCTCCGCGGGCTCCTTCAGCAAAAAATCCGAGAACACGTACTCTGTGGCCAGGTGGGCGATGGCCATGGCTGCGGCGCGCCGGGCTCAGCCAGCCAGGCCTACCAGGGCTGGACCCGGCACCGCTAGCGGCCGAAGAGCGGCGCGGCGCCTTCACCCGTCACCGGCTCGGCCCGCGGCTTTCGCTTTTCCTTTGCCGGCTCCCCAGTTGCCCCTGCATCCTGCCCACCTTTGTGTCTTGGTAAGCCCAGGCTCCTAGCGACCCCCGCCGGAGCTGCAGCAGCCTCCGCTCGGCGCCTGCCCCAAGCTGCTCTCCAAGCACAAGCTCTCTAGCTCCCTGCCTCCGCCGCCGGTGGGGCGCGAGCTTCGGGGCGCGGGCGCTCACCCAGCGCAGGCCCCCGATGCAGGCGCGACGGCGGCGCAGCGTGCGCGATCCCGGGCTCCGTGCCTCTCCGGCGCCCACCGACGCAAGAGCCAGTTGGGGACCAAGGCGCTTCCATCCGGCTCCGGCCCGTTTGTTCCGCCCTGGCACCTGGAGCGGGCTGGTGCGCTAGCGACTAGTGTCCCGCTCCTTAGCCTTCTTCCGGAACCATCCAAGGAAACCTAGTACGCAGGAGCGCGGAGTTTCCGGAAATCGCGGGGACGCGGGGCGTGGTGCGCGCGGCAGCATCCCGCGCCGGTCTGTTCCATCCCCGCGGAGAGGATCATCTCCACTGAGCGGCTCGTTTGAAAAGTCTCGTGTACTTCCCATCTACATTCGTCCGTCTTCCTGGCACCAGGATCTTTAAAATCATTTCTGAAAAGATCCTTTACACGTGTGGATAGGATGGCCCCCTTTTACACCCCACCCCCAACATTTCTGCATGGTGAAGTCATGTTAAAATGAACTGCAAAAGCCTCAAGGAGCAAAACCAAAGAAACCAAACCTGTTGCCATTGAGTCCGTTCCGGTTCATAGCGATCCTATAGGACAGAGTAGAACTGCACCATAGAGATTCCAAGGAGCACCTGGTAGATTCGAACTGCCGACCTTTTGGTTAGCAGCCAGACTCTTAATGCTACATGAAGCGGGTAAAGACAAGGTGTATGGAAAAGGGAGCGCTAGACTTGGAGGAGCTCTGTGTGTGAGACGGAGGCGCGGGAAGGTGGTGAGCGTGTGGGAAGCGAATGACTAGGTCACAGGTCTCAATTAGCACTGCTCAGGTCCCCGCTTCTCCTTACCCTGCCTTCCCAAGTAGAGCCTTGGCCCAAAGGCCAGCAGAGGAGTGTCTTCGGGTTGGTAGATGTTGGGGGATGCTGGAAGCTGCTTCTGAGCCATTTACAAGAAGTGGATGATAAATAAGCGGCAACATTTGAGCAGATGGAGGCTCCTTGGAGCCCTGGTAGCACAGTGGTTAAGAGCTCGGCTGCTAACCAGAAGGTCGGCAGTTTGAATCCTCCTGCCGCTCTTTGGAAACCCTACTCTGTTCTATAGGGTTGTCATGAGTAGGAATCTACTCAGTAGCAAAGGGTTTGGTTTTTTGGTTTTGAGGGGTTCTTGCGGCCGAGCTGGGCTGCCTTCTTTGCTCACTGTACAGCGGGGGAGGGCTGGGGCATAACTGCAGACATTCTCTACATGCTGTTGTCTCCCACAAGTATATATGCAGCCTGGCCTTTCATCCCAGCAAGCACACATCCAACGGCCTACCCAGCTTTCCGCTTGGATGTCTCACAGGACATAGAACTAATAATGGCCAGGACTGCAATTCTCATCTTCCTCTCAAACCTCAGCTCCAGTTCTTCCCCTTCTCATTAAATGCACCCTTTCTCACTAAGAGCCTGAGTGCAACCCCTGGATCTGTCACTTAATAGTTGTGAGACCAAGGGTATGTCACTGGAAATCTCTGAGCGTCAATTGCCTCATTTGCCAAATAGAGATAACGCTACCTACCTCACATCAGGTTGTTCTGAGGAATAAATGTGATATGTACAGTGCCTGGCACATCAAGCACTCAGTATTTGATAGCCGACATTATAAACCTCAGGAGTTTAAGGTGTCAATGACAGCATATGTGACATTGCTTTTTTTAAAGAACTTTATTTTTTAAAACAGTTTTAGATTTACAGAAAAATTGAGCAGATAGTACAGAGAGTCCCTGTTATGGCCTAAATTGTGTCCCCCAAAACTATGTGTATCAATTTGGCTAGGCCATGGTTCCCAGTATTGTGTGATTGTCCACCATTTTGTCATCTGATGTGATTTTCCTATGTGTTGTATACCCTATGATGTTAATGAGATGGGATTAGTGGCAGTTATGTTAATGAGGCAGGACTCAATCTACAAGATTAGATTGTGTTTTAAGTCAATGTCTTTTGAGATATAAAAGAGAGAAGCAAGCAGAGGGAGAGGGAGCTCATACAACCAAGAAAGAAGCACCAGGAGCATAGCGCGTCCTTTGGACCCAGGTCCCTGCCCTGAGAAGCTCCTTGACCAGGGGAAGATTGATGACAAGGACCTTCACCCAGAGCCCACGAGAGAGAAAGCCTTCCCCTGGAGCTGGCACCCTGAATTAGAACTTCTAGCCTCCGAGACTGTGAGAGAATAAATGTCTTCGTTAAAGCCATCCACCTGTGATATTTCAGTTAAGCAGCACTAGATAACCAGGACAGTCCCCGTATACCCCACACCCAGTTGCCTCTATTATTAACATCTTAAGTTAGTGTGGTACATTTGCTACAATTAACGAACCCATATTAATACATTATTGTTAATTAAAGCTCATCGTTTATTCGTATTTCTTTAGTTTTTACCTGATGTCTTTTTCTGTTTCAGGATATGACGTTACATTTAGTTGTCATGCTTCCTTAGGTTCCTCTTAGCTGTGAGTTTCTCAGCTACTCCTTGTTTTTGATAACATTCCTTTTTTAAATTTTTTTATCATTATAAGGTGCATTTAGGTATTTAACACCTCCTCCTCCCAAGTCCTTCCTGCCTCTGCCCCTCTCCCAGCCCCAGTATCATTTGTCAAAAGGACAAAGCAGTGGTGGACCTCACAGCCGTGCTCCCAGAACTCTGTTCTGCTTGTTTGAGATCCTTGACATTTGAATGAGACTTTTTGCAACACAAAAGAATAGTCAATCAAGTGTGGCCTCAGAAGCCCTACTAGACCTTCTGTTCTGTTTACATTTTCATTCATTCATCCAAGAAATATTTGTTGAGCAACTGTTATGTATCTGCAGTATGATCTGTGCTGGGGATGCAGCAGTGAGCCAAAGAGGTCAGGGATCCTTGCTTCTAGGAGCTTATATTCCAGTGCAAGCGACAGATAAAACTCAAGCTAACAGGCAGATAAAATGTCCTGTGATAAGTGCTGCAAAGGAAACCAATGGAGATAGGAAGTAACAGGCAGAGGAACCCACTTTAGACAGGGCAGTCTGGGGAGCTTACATCTGAACTAGGAAAAGGTATAGGGTAGGGGATGGGGTGCTGGAGAAGGAGAGCACTCCAGGCATAAAAAGCTGTATGTGCAAAGGCCCTGAGGCAAGAAAGAACTAGCTCAGCATAGGAACTGATAAAAGCTGGAGCAGAGAAGAGCCTGAGATGAAGTTGGGAAAGTGGGCATGGGCCAAATCAGGCTGGGCCTGTAGACCAAGGTAAGGAGTTTAGATTTTATTCAAAGTAAAATGGAAAGACATTAAAGGGTATTAAGCAGGGAAATGATGTGGTCAGATGTGCATATTTAAGAAAACATTGTCGCTGCTGTGTGGGCAGTGGTTGGAAGGGGCAGGAGAGACCATGGGGAGCCTGGTTGGGGGCTGCTGCAGTGATACCACTTGGCAAGATTTGTGAGTCTGAAGCTCATTTGGCAAGATTTGTGAGTCTGAAGCTCAACTGGCAAGATCTGTGAGTCTACAGCTCAGTTGGCAAGATCTGTGAGTGTGAAACTCAAGGTGAGGGCTGGAGACACACATTTTTAATTTATTGGCGTAAAGATGGTTTTCAGATCTGTGAGGATACGTGAAATAACCAATGGACAGGGCTGTAACAATTTACCACAAACTCAGCAGCACACATTTATTCTCTTAAAGTTCTGGAGGTCAGAAGTCTGAAATCAGCTTTACTGGGCCAAAATCAAGGTGTTGGCAGAGCCATGCTCCCTTCAGAAGCTCTAGGGAAGAATCCATTTCCTTGTCTTTTCCACCTCCTAGAACTGCATTCCTTGGCTTGTGGTCCCTTCCTCCATCTTTAAAGCCGGCAGCATAGAAATCTTGCTTCAGTCATCACATTGCCTCTTGCAGCTGTAGTCAAGTCTCTCTCTGCTTCTGTCTTATAAAGACACTCAAAGGAGTGAGGTAGAGAACAAGAGTGTCGTACGTTTGGGGAAACAACGTTTGAGGAGTCATATTATTTCTGAAGATATATTGTTTTGTTTCATTTCCTCTAATAAGTATAACTGGGGTACTTGCTAAATATCTAAAAGAACTCTTTTATAACCCCAACCTTTCTGTATTAGTGATAGATAATCTTAAGTGATCAGCCCATGAAAACTCTATGGATCACAATAGAATAGTATCTAACACAGTGCTGGAAGATGAGCCCTCTAGGTTGGAAGACACTCAAAATACACAGTGGCTGCAACAATGGACTCAAGCGTACCAACAATTGTGAAGATGGTGCAGGACAGGGCAATGTTTGGTTCTGTTATACGTGAGGTAGCCATGACTTGCTGACTCTATGGCAACTAACAACAACAAATCTGGAGTGAAATAAATTATGAAAATAGCCAGCTTATATGAAACTTTATTCAACAGAGAAATGGTGCAAACTACGTTATGATTTTGTTTTCATTAAAAAAATAGACCAAGTGAAAAGGAAAAAAACAACAATTTGTGGTCTTACTAAAGGTAGGTATAAATAAGGCATATTATCATAATTACTAGTATGTAATTTTACAGCCTACATGTGTATGAAAACTGCCTAGCACATACTACAAAATCACATTGCTAGTGGTTAGGCTAGATTTCAAAACCCTGTTTGATATGACATTCAAGCAAACTATGAACAGAACTAATAGCATTTGCATACTACCCTGTGTAAGATGATAGCTTCTATCAAATTACCCTTTTCCCCTCACCAAGATGAAGATGAGAAAGTGTGAAAGATCCCTCCACCAGAGTATTTATTGGGTCGTACTCGTTCACCTGGACATTCAAATGGCCCACCGCAAAGGCAGATGTACCAACATCACTCATCTGCCATTGCAGGGGATATGTTGCCCTGAGCTAAGGGCAGTTTCTCAGTCTAGCAATAAACAATGTTGCTTTTATCAAATTTACACCTAAGCTTTAGGCATGCTGTTTAGAGGGTGCAGATTGCCTGGTAGAGGGTTGAGTATAATTGCTCGGTATTTCATTTTTGCATTTGAGCCTTGAAAACTTCAATACGTAGCTTCAAAGCTGATTCCATGGTTCAGAAATTGCCACCCAGGAATCTCTTTTTCAGGCCATCCTTCCTCCCTATGCCTTTCCTCTTCTTTTTTTCCTCCAATAAAGGGCCATGTCTTTCATAAAGAAGCATGAAATCTAAGATTTCATGAGATCCCTTTCCTCAGTCAGCTGGATTGATGAATCCCTTCCAGTGTTTCTCATGTGCTGAGACTGTTTTTATTTCATAGGAGATGGAAACTTGGAAAGATGAGTCTAATTGAATGAAAACCAGACTCAAGATTCCAGCCTGGACTCTCCTCCTGCAAAGCTTCCCTCTCCCTCAGAAGCTCCCACTAACATTTTGGAGAAGTCCCTGACTCCCAGTGGGAGAATCAAGCCTGAATTTACAGATTCTAATGCTCCCAGATTCTAAAATAGAAATACAAATTCTCTAGTCTATTTTTGAAAATTCAGACATTGCTACAGAAACAGATTGTAAAAACAGATAACATGAAGTGAGTTATAAACATTCAAGTATCACTACAGGTTTGCATAAAAACAGCAGCAATTTTTTTTAAATGCTTAAAATTTTTTAAAAATATCTTTCGTAACAAACAGTGCACAGGCTATTGCTATAAAAGGGGGAAAGGCCAGGAGAGCTGGTTAAAGCCTCAGAGATTCATTTAGTCAAATTCTATCAGCAGATACTGACTCAGACATTTCCCTGAACTCCTTAGAAAGTTCTTTTTCCTGGAACAACTACAGGAGGCAGCTTATGTAACGGTGTTACAAAATCAGGACACTTCCAGTTAGATGGCTGAGGTACTATAAATCTTTCTATAAGTAGTCCACCTGGAAACTTTGATGGTAAGCAAAGGAAATAATGTCTAATCTAAGGATTACGAAAAATGGAAAATAAAGGAATCTTTCAGAGGGTCCCCTCACTTCAGTGAATTCATTCAGAGAATAGACTAAGAGTTGGCATTTCTCAGTAACACCAGTTCTCCTTCTTCTGTATTTTATACCTGAGGATTATTCACAGCCCATGTTCAGAAATAAATAAAAGCAAATTCCATTGGATTATGTTCCAGAGGATCAGATGCCTGATCCCAGACACGGTGTCAACCTTCCTTGGTGAACGTTGCCGGCGTCCTGTTTCCCTGTTGGCTGCCATTGGCCATCTGGCTGTGGAACGTCACCCCTTCCTGTCTGAGGAAGACCAGGTGATTCACAGAGCATCTGTGGGGAGAGCACAGGACTGGACTTGCTGGTACGGCAGCTGATTCCTCACAGAGTGGAGTCTGAGGAAGAGAATCACCATGGCTATCATGAGGATGAGTCCGATGATAAAAAGGATGACTAAGGCTGCCTTGGCTCCTTTGGGACCCAGGATCTTGCCAAAGAAATAGAGCTTCTCCTTATTGGGTCCTTCTGTGAAAAAGAAAAGTGAGTTTGGGGTGATGAAAAGATTTAGAAATGGACAGTGGTGATGGTTGCACTTTATGGTGAATGTAATCGATGTCATTGAATTGTACACTTAAAAATGGTTAAAATGGTAAATGTCTTGTTATATATATTTTACCATAATAAAATTTTAAAAAAAGAAACAAAAGAAAAGTGTGGTATGAGGCCTCTGCCCTTCCCTGAGGAATGAAATGTTCAGGCATTTACATTCAGCATGCAGAAGAGGGTATCATTACCATCAGAGGGCACGGTGACTGGATGAGATGCTTCTTCAGAAGGAGACTTGGTGGAGTATGGAATCCTGTTGTCTGGACACAGAAGACAAGTTGATTGTTTAATAAACAGCAGAGTACATTATTTTCATGAGTTGTTTCAGGAGTTACTCCATTTTACCAATGAGGACTTTATCCCACCATTATCTGCAAATCTTTCTTGGATCCTCACTATTTTGCTTCATACCAGTATACATGCTGTTCCGACCCCACCCGCCTTTCAAGCTTCTGCTCATCCATTAAGATCCAGCTCAAGCATCATGACCTCTGTGAAGCCTTCGCTGCCACTGAACCCTGTATGCTACACTCTATAATGGTACATGTCATTCTATTGTGGTTACATATTTACACATCTGTCTCTCTTACTTGACTCTGAGTTCCTTGGGGGCTGTGTGTGGGTTTTTCTCATGCCTCCTGTTTTCAGGGACTACAGGAAGACATCACGACAGCCAGATGACCGACAGACAACAGTACCTGTGTTCTGGAGGACTGTGTAGGTTGTCTCCATGCCAGCATGGATGTGGTCAGACACATGACAGTGTAGCAGCCATGTCCCTGGGTGATCCGCAAACAGTTCGATGGTTCGGAATGTCCCGGGAAACAGATCATACACATCTCCTCGGTAAGATTTATCTGTCTATAGAAAACAAAAAACACAGCCTGAGACTTTCTGTGCTCAGCCACGGAAGGAAGAAAAAGAGGCACAAAATAAAAGAAGGAGGAGTTCCTGGGCGGTGCAAATGTTTAATGTGCTCAGCTGCTAACCAAAAGGTTGGAGGTTGGAGTCCACCCAGAGGTGCCTCAGAAGAAAAGGCCTGGCAATCTACTTCCGAAAAATCAGCCATTGAAAACCCTATGGAGCACAATTCTACTCAGACACACATGGGGTTGCCATGAGTTGAGAACGACTTGATGGCAACTGTTTTTTTAAACAGAAGGAAGGAAATAATAGAGAAAAGAACAGAAATCAATGCAATCAAGAATAGAAACAATGGAAATTAATCAATGAAACCAAAAATTGGTTCTTTGAACAGCTCAATAAAATTTATAAACCTTGTGGTAACCAGCCTCCATGATTGCCCCCAATGATCCCTGCCTGCTAGTATTCATAACCTTTGTAGTCCCCTTCTATATTGTGTGAGGGTTGGTCTATGTGGCCCAGAGCATATGGCGGGAGTGACAGCATGCCACTTCTATGATTATGTTAGAAAAGACCATGGCTTTTGTCTTAGGCCCTCTCACTCTTTCTACTTGGGTCACTTACTCTGGGGATAGCCAGCTCCCATGTTATATGCACATGGCAAGAAACTGAAGCCTGTAGCCAAAAGCCATGTGAGTGAGCTTGGAAGTAGATTCTCCTGCCCCAGTTAAATCTCTGATGGCCAGCCGCAGCTGACATCTTCATTGCAGCCTCATGAGAAATGCTGAATCAGAACCACCCAGCTACACTCCTGCCAGACTCCTGACCCAGGGAAACCGTGTGATAATAAATGTTTGGCGTTTTAGTTCACTACATTTTTAGATTTTTAATACGCTTTTTAACGTGGTTTGAAAAAGCCAAATTCTGAAAAACAACATAGCCATTTGCAACATGAAACTCTGTAACCATCACGGGCTAGTACTTAGTGTCCTCATCTGATGTTGAAAAAGTATACAGAGGGAAGAGGATATTAGAGGTTTTATGAAAGTTGCTGTTTATGCCTTTATTCTTAGAAAAGGATCCATGCAGGTTTCTCCCACGGATAAGATACGATTATTCTTTTCTGCTTCTTTGTAGACAACACTGAGAACTTGAGAAGACAGATGATCTGGACCTTACCCCTGGAAATTCTGATCCAGTGGGTCTGGGGTGGGGCCTGGCAAACTGTTTCTTAGATAGCTCTCCAAGTGATTCTGCTCTGCAGCCAGCACCACCTGTGTGATTCAGCTTGATGCTAGAGAGGCAGAAGGTCACACATTGTCCAGCCTAGACTACTAGGACAAAGGTCAAGAAAAAGTTTAGGGGCCCAAGCCAGAGCTAGAAATATCTCCTTTACAGGGCAAGGCTATTCTGTTAGCGAATCACACAGAAAAGAGAAAATAGGAAAGGGAAAGAAAAAACCAGAAAGGATCAGGGAAAGGAAGGAAATACTATGAGTGCTTTTAGGAAGCACTGAGTTTCTGTCTATGGTGATAGTAATTTGACAATGGTCATTGGCTGATGGTTGCACGACATGATTGACATAATTGTTGTCACTGAACTGTACACATGACAAACGTTGAACTGGCAAATGTCATCTACATTTTTACAATAATAAACAAAAAATGCCTCAAATACTGTGGGTGCTTTCATATACAATATTAATAGCATAAATCTGGGTGGTCAGGATCATCCCCATATAATTGATGAGAAAACTCTCATCTGAAGATCAGAGAGCTTTTAAAAGCACAATAAAATACATATAAAGAAATGAGTCAGAATCAACTAGATAGCACTGGGTTTTTGGGCACCATGGGAAGAGTATAATTACATCAATCTATTCCATTCTCTAACGTGAACCACCACCCCTCACAAGCATTATGGCCCAGTAACCCTCTTATTTCATGGTGGAATTACACTGAATTGATTGGTTCAAAAAATCTTCCTCCAAACATTTTCCTTATACTTACTTTGAGAAGAAAGCTCTCAGCATGATAATGGACGGTATGTATGTCCACTTCACCTCCAATTCCTAGCAAATACCAGTTTGTCATTGTGTCTTTATTCATTATGAGCCCATGAAGATTCCCAAAAATTCTCCCATTAATAGCTAGGAAGGTTAAAAAAAAAAAAAAAAGCCTTTGATTAGTGAGGAGACACGTATTACATATTCTGGTTTTAGAAATGATTCAAGAAGATCTTTAGGTTACCAATATTTCCATGAGCCTGATAAACACATAACAATCTCACCAATGCCCCCACCATTCTATGCTGAAAATTCAGATTACTAAGAAATCCTTATACAGAGAGCCAGAAAAGAGAAGTGGCATTTTATTTTTTAAAACTACATCTTGGGTGGATGTTTGCTCAGCATATTCCCTTCAGGAAATGGATTGCAAACTCATTTGTGAGGTAGCCAGATTTATACCATTCTACAGATAAGCAGACTAAGGCACAAAAAGATCAAGTTTCTATAAATCAAAACTGAACAAATTAGAAGCTATTTCCTTAGTAGCTCACTTTCTGAGTACTAGTTCGGGGCAAAAGGAGCCCTGGTGGTGCAATGGTTAAGCACTCAGCTGCTAACTGAAAGGTCAGCAGTTCAAACCCACCATCAGCTCCACCGGAGAAAAGACCTGGCAACCTGCTCCCGTAGAGATTACAGCTTGGGAAACCTAATGGGGCAGTTCTATTCTGTCCTATATGGTCACTATGAGTTGGAATTGACTTGACAGCACACAACAACAACAAGTTTGGAGCAAGTTCCTAAGCCTGACTGAATTTCCAAAGGAAGAAATGTGTCACCTGGACAGAGTCCATTAACCCAACAATGACCAAAGGAAGGCTGGGTTTCCATGGTGGCAACTCTCAGCCTTTCTCTTTGTAGTGACTTTTATTCTGTGCATCATAGTACCACCAAGTGATACATTACCTCAAGGGTAATATTCACTAAAAACAGAGCACACTAAACTATGAGGAGAGGGAAGCAAATTTGGTTATGAGAAAGAGTAGTTGAATTGGAAATCCGGCTACTAGATTCTAAATGCTTAACTAGCTTTGTGACTGGGCAAGGCCCATCTTTTTATATACTCTTGGTCAAAAAGAGTTCTTGGTGAAAAGGACTAATGAACACAATTACCACAGCCTCCACCAGACTGAGTCCAGCACAACTAGATGGTACCTGGCTACCACCACCAACTGCTCTGACAGGGATCACAATAGATGGTTCCAGACAGACCTGGAGAAAAATGTAGAACAAAATTCTAACTCACAAAAAAAGACCGGAGTTACTGGTCTGACAGAGGCTGGAGAAACCCCAAGAGTACAGCCCCTTTGAACTCAGTACTGAAGTCACTCCTGAGGTTTACCTTTCAGCCAAAGATTAGACAGGCCCATAAAACAAACAATAATACACGTAGCTCAACCATGTATACAAGACTAAATGGGCACACTAGCCCAGGGGCAAGGATGAGAAGGCAGAAGGGACAGAAAAGCTGGAAGAATGGAAATGGGGAACCCAAGGTCCAGAAGGGGAGAGTGTTGACACATCGCAGTGTTGGCAACCAATGTCACAAAACAAAACGTGTATTAATTATTTAATGAGAAACTATTTTGCTCTGTAAAACTTCACCTAAAACACACACACATACAAAGATTTAAAAAAAAGAGTTCTTGGTGAGAGACTGTGGATGTGTCAATTGGAACATATTACTTCCACCAGGAAAAAAAAATTATATAGAATTAAATAAACCAAAACAAAAACCAAACCCACTGCCGTCAATTCGTTTCTGACTCATAGTGACCCTATAGGGTTTCCAGGGCTGTAAATGTTTATGGAAGCTGACTGCCACATCTTTCTCCTGCAGAGCAGCTGGTGGGTTCAGATGTCAACCTTTTGGTTAGTAGTGGAGTGCTTAACCACTGTACCACCAAGGCTCCTTTCAGGGATAGAGGTTCCTAAACAGTTGGACCAAAGCTCAACGACCTTGCTGCCACCCAACCACTGGCTAGTCTGCCTCACTCTAAAGGAGAACTTCAGAGGACTTTCTTCAGTTCAGGTACCCCTGGGTATGGGGAAAGGCTTAGAGAAAGAGGCTGGGGGCCTCCTACAATTATAGGAATTTGTACAAGCTTATCCCAACAATGGTCTTCTTTTTAAACTCCTGATATACCGTGCATTTTGTTGCTCTCCTCAAAATCATCAGTGGGCTTAAAATCTCGCAGATCTTTATTGAGATATTTCTTAATATTGTCATCCAGATACCAGGATTCATTCTCATTAAATATCAAAAACAAGAGAGCAAATTCATAATCAATATCGCTTCTTCTTCCCTTTTCATTCAACACTCCTTTTCTGCATGTAATCAGAGGACCCATCAAACCACTATATGTATCCTGAAAGAAAAATAAATTGAATTAGAAGAGCCTTTAAATAATTTAATAATATAGATCAAGTGTCTGTAGGACGGTCATTGTAAAAACAATATTGGCCATGAAAATAAGTACAAGGAAACACTGAAGAATCAAGGTGATCTTTATGACAGTTTAGGAAAGTCCCTAAAAATTTACTACAGGATGACACCTTGAGGGCTGAGGTTGTGTCCCTCGTAAATCACTGAGTCTCCAGAGCCTTGCCCCGTGTCTAGCACATAGATGGTCCTCAACCAATACTTGTTGAATAAATGAATGCTTACTTCTATTTTTCTGCTTGCTTTTCAAGTGAGACTGTATTTATAGCTTTATATATATGCTTGTACTCCACTTTCTATGGGTAAAAGTGGACAGAGTGATTAGTAAACGATATGGGACCATGGATGATCTCCTAGTCAAGTTGTTCAACCCCAAGCTCTCTTTTGAGGGAAAACATCTACATTTCCAACTGCTTACTTAGACACTCTACCTGGATGCGCTTCCTGTGGTAATGGAATCTACTAAGCATGTCTAAAATGGAATTTATTATTTCCCTCAAACCATTTCCTCTTCCTGAATTCTCTATTTCTTTTAATAGCACTACAACATTCCCTGTCATTTAGGTTAGAAAATTTGATTTTAATGTTTAATTCTTCCTTCTTTCCACTTCTTCCAACCAGTTTTCTATAAAATCTTCCTTCCACTCCCTCCCTCTTCTTCACATTGTCTCTCCATTCTGTGACTTCCTTTCCATTCCATCTGCCCCCACTCTAGTGCAGGATCTCAGTGCCTCACCCTGGACTAGAAACGGACTCCTCACTGGTCTCTAGCTTACCCCACTTCCAGCCCAACCTGCTGACCACCGTCAGATTAATCTCATCGCTCCCATATCTAGAAGTCTCCAGTGATTTTCATTGCCGACAGAATAACGTACAAACCTCTGACAGGCCCTTAAATCCCTCCATGAACTCCAATGAACTCCAATGAATTTTTCTAGCTTAAGCTCCCCCACTGCTCTTGTTTTGTACCCTATATGACAGTCAAATGGACTCTCAACATTTCTCAAACACAACTTATACTTTCCTATCTTCCACTTTGCTCATAATGCTCTCTCTTCCAAGACTCTCTTTCCAGTGTCTCCTATAGTATCTTGGATGGCCCACCATGCCCATGACACTCAACTAGATTCGGAGTTGTCTTATAGGTTGGGCATGTATTATTTACCCCCACCCCAAAGCTATAAGTTCAAGATGAGAATATTTGCAATCCTCACAGTGCTAAGTAGGGTCATTTGCACATAACAAGTGCACAATAAATATTTGTTAGGATACACAAATGAATAAATAAAAATAAATATGGGTTTCCCATAATTACAATATGAAAAGTTTTTAAAGTTTATTTCTTCTCGTGTCTTGTATGCCTAACTCCTGAATTCTAGCACTATCCAGTACAACTCAAGGACATTAATGAAAGCTATTTATTATATTTAAAAAAGGTTAAGATACAAAAAAAAAAGGTCGAGAAGGGAGAGGGTTGACATGTTGTGGGACTGTTAACCAATGTCATAAAACAATATGTATACTACTGTTTCATGAGAAACTATTTGTTCTGTAAGCCTTCACCTGAAGTACAATTAAAAAAAAAAAAATGAAAAAAGAAAATTTAAAAAAAAAGGGTTAAGATAATCCTTTACCTTTTAATAATGGTCAATGTTTATATTTTATAGCAGATAAGACTTCAGCTTGGACTTTGGTTTATGATGTACAGTTAAAGACAGTAGTTGTTTTACCATACATGTATCTGACTCAAATTCAGTATCGAATCTTTGCCTTTTATTTCTAAGTGAAGTTAGCCTATTTATCATCCAAATAGCTTTGTAGCTTGAATTGCTATAGCTGGAGTGTGCTTTCTTTCCCTGAGCCCTGGTAGCAGTGGTAACGTCTTTAAAATTAATAGATTTCACACATCCAAAACCACAGAATAAATTATATTCGAAGATACGTTTATTTTGTTATCTATTTACATATCCTCTTTTACTTCAAATTACTTTGTACATTTCTAAATTTGGCAATTGAAACCTTGAGGTTTTGTTTTTATCTCCCATACTTTAAATCAAGGGACAGCAAACTTCTTCTGTATAGAGCCAGATAGCAAATATTTTCAACTCTGCAACTACTCAACTCAATCACACACAATGCAAATGAATGGGCATGCCAGGATTTGGCTGGCGAGCCGTGGTTGAAACCACTGTTTTAAATCGTTACACCGCTTCATATATACCCATCCAAGTTGCAATGAGTTGAATTGTCAACTTAAAGCCATATTACTTTAAGCATTTTGATTTTTCTTTCTACCTTACCTTCACAAAGTTTACTGTTGAATAGTAAACCCATGGAATACAATTTGGGTCAGAGGGCCCAGGGCCTGATCTTTTAGGGATAGTCCATTGGTAAATTCTTATTTCTCCTGAAACAAATGAGAGGAAATAGAAAGAAATTACTAGTGTTACCTCTGTTCCAGATGATTTACCCGGAAAAGTACAAGCTGGTCTTTACATATTCTGGTCAATGTTTATTGCTGACAAGAGTTACCCATTCATTAGCAATATCCCTATTAAACACACATCCTGATTTTATACAGCTTCAAAATGGCGGATTTTTTCATTTCACACTTCACCTTTCCCTCTGTTGTTGTCAGGTGTGGTTGAGCGGATTCCCACTCATAGCAAGTGCGTGTGACAGAGTAGAACCAGCCCATAGGGGTTTCTAGGCTGTAATCTTTACAGGAGCAGATGGCCAGGTCTTTCTCCCATGGTCTGCTGTTTTCTATGATCAACTGACATGTATTCAGGAAATGAGGCCTTATTTTATTTATTTCTCACTGTTTTCTTCTCAAATTTCATTTCTCCCTCTGCAGAGCTGTCCCTGAGCACACAGGTTTTAATCACCATGTCTCTCAACCTTGGCTTCTTACTGGAACACTGGGGGAGCTTTGTAAACCCTCACTGTTCAGGCCTTGCCCTCGGCCAATTAAATCAGTGTATTTGAGGTCTGGGGCCCAGGCATCAGTATTGTTTTAAAGCTTCTTAAGTGATTCTAATGTACAGGCAAGTGAGATCCAGCTAGAATCAGAGAAGATTAAAGAGACCTAGCTCCAGATTTCAGCCCTAAAACCCATTGCTGTCAATTCGATTCCAACTCCTAACAACCCTATAGGACAGAGTAGAACTGCCCCATAGGGTTTCCAAGGAGTGGCTGATGGATTCGAACTGTCAACCTTTTGGTTAGCAGCCGAGCACTTAACCACCTCGCCACCAGGGCTCCAGTCTCAGCTCTACTACTTCCTAATTATCTAGCATTTGACTTTTAGTTTCTTAACATGTAAAGTGGGTTAAGTCATCCTAAGATTAAATGAAATTGAAGTACCTAGGATAGTGTCTTACATAAAAAGCAGTTAATAAAAGTTATCATATATACTAATAACAAATGTATGGGCTTCCCCATGGGCAAATGCCATATCTATGCATCCCCCGTGGCTGACACACAGCCTTGCACAGAGGAGACATTAACATATCCACCACAAATTAGCGAGCTAGCCACACTGTGAAAGTCCCAAATAAAAACCACACATAAATAATTACCTCACTTTAAACTACCTGTGTCCCTTTCCCACCCCCAGCAGGACAAACAACCTACTGCTGAATACGTGAGACACAGAGCAAAGCAAAAGTAATGCTTATATGGAACTTTTCTCCATTTTTGTTACTACATCTATTTCCATTAACTTTCATTAAAGCCCCTATGTTTTGTTAATCGAAAGATAAACAGCTGTTATTTACCTGCTCAAATGCAAGAGTCTACAGGGGTAAGTTTTCTCTTCCCCCTTTTCTTTTTAATAACAGCTTTATTGAGATATAATTCACATATCACACAATGCACCCATTTAAAGTGTACAATTCAGTGGTTTTTAGTATTTTCAGATATGTGCAACCATCACCACAGTCATATTTAGAATATTTTCATCAACTCAAGAAGAAATTCCGTATCCTTTAGCTATAACCCTTCCATTTCCCAGTCCCTCCCTGTCACGCACTCCAGTGGCATCACTAGCGGGGTGCAGAGTGCACCCCCTGACACTGGTAGAGGGGGTAACACCAAAATGACCCCAGGGTCCCCGGATGGGGCGTGAGGGCCTGTGCTACTGGGGGAAGGGCCACCAAGGCAGTAGCGTCTCTAGGGTTGGTGTCACCCATCACCCAGTGAGGTAACTCATCATCATCCCCATCACCTACCAGTCACTAGGCTTGGTGTCACCCAGTGTGGCAATTCGTCACCATCACCCCAGTGGTGGCGGTCACAGTGCCGGCAGCCAGGCTGTGGTGCTTGCCATTGGCCAATGGGAGAGGGGAAGGGCTGCTGGGAGACGCAGGGGGCAGGGCTGGGAGGGGTACACCCTGGAGCTAGGCTTGGCCTTGCGTGGGGGTGGGGCAAGGCCGGGCTGCTCCACCCACCAGGGGTGTTTGCCAGCTGGCCCTCTCACCCCCAGATGGGGAGGGTGTGACACCATGAGTTACTGCTCTGGGTGACACCAGCCCTAGTGACTAATGCACCTCTAAAACTAAAAACGAAACCCATTGCTGTCGGACTCCTAGGGACCCTACAGGACAGAGTAGAACTGCCCTATAGGGTTTCCAAGGAGCAGCTGGTGGATTTGAACTGCGACCTTTTGGTTAGCAGCTGTAGCTCTTAACTACTATACCACCAGGGCTCCATACCTAAGCAACTACAAATCTATTACTTGTCTCTGCAGATTTTCCTACTCTGGACATTTTATATAAATGGTACAGGAGTAGTGTTTTTGAGGTTGGGCAATACATTGTATACCTCAGCAGTAAATACAACTCTGAATGTAAAGAAGATACTCAATAAATGTTTGTTGAGTGATTTAATATAAAAAAGAAGACAACTGATAGGGGACAACTGTGTCTCGAGTTTGCTCTCCCTATATATGCCCAGATAAACTTTCTTTCTCCCACTTGCTTGGACTTCCTGTCCAAAGTTAGTTTCTTGCTCCTACCCCCAACCTCTGGTCGTTTCCAAACCTTGCAGCCTTGTCAAGGATCCCTGGGTTCTGGAAAGAAAAAAATGCTTCTTAGCCACATTCTAGTCCATTTGAATTCTTCCCCTCCTACACAACCCTCCAATCAAGGGCTCTCAGAAGGCCAGCCAACACTGAGGGGCTGTGTCCCTTGCCAATCCTCACCATCAGGGCACAGCAGCCTGTGACTGGGGTCACCCCAGCTTTCCCCCAGCCCTACTAGAGCCCCCACCAATGCCTGATGGTGCTACCAATCTTCCTCCTCTGGAGTTGCTTTCCAGCCATCACAGATGATTAACTTTATTTAATGGCTTTTTCTCTTTTTTGACCTAGTTTTTAAAAATCATTTTCTTCTTCAACAAAGCAAGACACAGCCATTATAGAAAATCTAGAAAGTATGAAAAATGTGAAGTACAAAAGAGTATCACCCTAAATGCCACCCAAAATATCACCCCAAAGATAAAACCAGTATTAACATTTTGGCTTATTTCTCTTCTAGCTTTTTTTCTATACTTGTATTTTGTTTAATTTGATACCATAAGTCTTTCCCATATCATGAACCCTTCTTATACATCATTTAATGGTGGAGTAATATTCCATTGTAAAGATATTCCAAAATTGACTTAACTATTTCTCTACAGACGGTCATTTGCATGTTCCTGAGAGTTTTCTTGAAACAGTATAGGCTTCTGATATAGAGGCGAAGGGTGGTGGGAGAAGTTAGAAAAGTGTTCAATGAAGATTTTCCTTCCCCTGAACCCACCCTTGTGCAGGTACCTTGCTAACTTTTTCTAGTGACGCATTAGACTGTTTTCCTCTCTTCCTTTTATGCGTCTTTAAATTTTATGGGCTTATATGACCTTTACTGTAATTACTACAGTAGTAACTATAATAATGTTATTTTACACATAAGAGATAAAATGAAATATAACTCCCTTGTAATTATACCTACAATTGCTATCAGTTTCATAACTGGAGGCCACAGTGGTTCTTGACATTTATCACAGCCACACTCAACCATGCAAATGTTATGAATGTTTTAAACTTCTTGAGAGGAATGTGTAGTTAAGAGCTCAGGCTCTGGAGTCAAACGAACTTGGGTTCCACCATAACTAAAGTATGCTCTAACATGTTGTTATTTGCTGTTGGGTCAGCTCTGACTCATGGTGACTCCATGTACAACAGAATGAAACTTTGCCCCGTCCTGCACCATCTTCATGATGGTTGGTGTGTTTGAGTCCACTGTTGCAGCCACTGTGTATTTTGAGTGCCTTCCAACTTAGGGGGCTCATCTTCCAGTATTATATCGAATAATATTGTTGTGATACATAGGATTTCCATTGGTTAATTTTTGGAAGTAGATCGCCAAGACTTTCTTCCTAGTCTGTCTTAGTCTGGAAGCTCCACTGAAACCTGTTCATTACGGATGATTCTGCTGGTATTTTAAATACCACTGACAGAGCTTCCAGCATCACAACAACACGCAAGCCACCACAGTACGACAAACTGACCTAGTGAGTTTGGGTGGTGGATGACCTAGTAAGAAGTAAGTTATTTACCCCTCTCTGCCCTAATGTAGTCATCATTACCATATTTCATCAATTATAGGATGTACATTTTTTTACATTTCAATATATCTGAAATCAGAATGCATCTTTCTATCAGTGTCATAACAAGATTTAATTGGCAGCATGTTTTTCTTTTTTTTAATATCAGACAAAATAATGGCATGTATTTATAATCAATATATACATACATATGTATGTGTATATGTATGTGTGTACATATACATATATAGAGAGAGAGAGAATCAAAAGGTCCCTGGATGGCATAAGCAATTTTCACTCAAGCACTAGCCTAAAGGTTGACAGTTCAAACCCACCCAGCAGCTCTGTGGAAGAAAGGCCTGGCAATCTGCTTCTGTAAAGATTACAGCCAAGAAAACCCTATGGAGCAGTTCTACTCTTTAACACATGGGATCACTACGAGTCAGAATCAACTCGATAACGGGTTATTATCATCAATGGTGTCAGATTTGATTAAATACGTTAGTGTCTTCCTCACTGGGTGGTTGTTTAAGGATAAACGAGATTTCTTTTTTTAAATGTAAAGCACAGCACCTGGCACAAGGTTAACACTCAGTATATGTTAGCTATTATTATGTCTCACTACCGTTTGAGGTCCCTAACAGAGCCTTTGAAATGCCATAAGCACTTGGCCATTGGATGAATGATCATGTCATATTGGGAATGACTAGGTGACAGCATTGACATTAAGATAAACTCTCCAAGGCAGGCATCTCAGAGATCAGGAAAAAGTCGAGTCTGGTGTCCTCATCAGGATAGAGCAGGCCTCTGATTTATCTTACCTGGCTTTGTGATGGGCACTTGGAGTCGCTTCCCACTATCTACCTCCTCCACGCCTTGGGCTGAGATGGAGTAGGGTCGCGTGGCTTTGTTATTAAATACGATCAGGATGGAGTCACCCACCTCTGCATGAATCATTGGGCCTAGAGGCAAAACACAGGTCCGTGTACATTATCATCGCTCTTCTCAAACATTATGTAATTTAAATGTATTTGGCAAAATAAAATAAAAAGGTTAGCTTCTTCTTCAGTGAACTTTCTTTAGAGGGCCATACTGTGTAGCATTTAATGTCATGTAGTGTTTGGCAGCTAGACCACCTGGCTCAAATCCTGCCTCTTTCACTTATGAGGGGGTCCTTGGGAAGTCACATAACCTACCTGAGTCTCAATTTCCTCATCTGTAAAACGGGTTTAGTAGTAGTACCTTTCTCATAGGATTATGTTAAGGAATAAATAATATACGTACAGTGCTTAATTCAGGGCATTGAAACACAGTAAGTCTTCAATAAATGCTTAAATTTTTTGCCACTGCAGAAAAAAAATCTCCTGGCAAAGCCATATCCACTGATGAGGCGACTTTCAGTTGTAATCCTCCTGTGTGTAACCTTTGGTAAGTATGAAATGGCTCATCTTGTAAATGGATATAATAATAATGAGGACCCCATGAAATACTGTATATGAAAGGGATTTGAAAGAGTGAAATAAAAACATTTCTGTGTTGGTTTCTGGTTAATACAATGATTTCACTGCGTGTCTAACATTGTTTCTCAATATTTGGACACCTGGAGGAGGCATGTGCTCCTCAGTGGCTTCTCACGTGTGCACGTTTCTGTTAGAAGCAACCAGGCTGCATGCGCCCCATGGGCAGGAGTGGGTCTGTGCCCGAGCGACTGTGGGATTCCACACGCCCCACATTGACAGAGCTTCAAACTCACGGTGGTCTTCACTGGGTACCACTAACAGTAAGGAGGGTGAAGACTCTCATTTTGGAAGCACATCAACAGACCTAAGCCCTACATTTCTCTCATAGGCATTTGTTGCATTCTACGGTCATTCCAGTTGCCATCAGGTCAACCTGACTCATGGTAACCCCACATGTGTCAGAGTAGAACTTCTCCATAGGGTTTTCAATGGCCGATTTTTTGGAAATAGAATGCCAGGCCTGTCTTCATAGGTGCTTCTGGTTGGGTTCGAACCACCAACTTTTCAGCTAGTAGTCGAGTGCTTAACTGTGCCCTGAGTCGGAATGGAATCCACAGCAACTAACAACAACATAATCTTTGGAGGAAGATATTTAGCATGAATCAGGAAGTTTTGGAAAAGCACTCATTTTTGAAATGATAAAGCGAGAAAAGAAGATTCTATTCATGTTTTTAACAGTAAATTTGGTACAGTTACAGACAGATGAGTGAGTATGCAGATATTAAAATGATTATCTGGATATTCACTACCACTTAAACTGCTCATGCCTCGCTGTTCTGGTAAGAGTAAACGTCTTCTCATTTACAGGATGATAGTTTGTGGGGAACAGTAATGAACCAAACTGTGCCTGCATTGTGCCCTTAGAACAACTTCACAAGCCCAGGCCTCTCCCTGAGCTGCTGAAAATGAGTGGATAGGCCTCACACTTCCTGGGGTCTAGAGCTGTTGGGCTTGCCTCCAATGAAGTCATTCCATCTGTGTCATTTTACTGAGCAGGCCCAAACCAGGGCTCTTCTGGCAGCAGCTCAGCCAATCAGCACGATGGGCTCCTTCTCTTCAGCGCTGACACTCTTTCTCTCTCATGGCTCCAATGAATTAATATTCCCAGCGGGGCTAACTCATTTGGTGAGACAAACAAGCTCACGTGCCAATGTTAATAGGCAGTGGAGATTTGGGGAAGGGTGGATGGGGCATTGAATAATTTATCAAGATAAGAGTCAGCTGCCTTATTTTCATATTAAAAAGCACTGTGTACAGTCAAACTATTTATATGTTACTTTGTGCATTTAAAAGTGGGAAATAGTTTCAGAAAGTCATCCAGATTAGCCCTATGCCTTAAGATATATCTATATAATGGTCTGATACCTCCCAGGTGAAGAAAAGGGGGGAAGAAAAACAGGAAGAGGTTATCTGGTCTCCAGGTCAGGCATCTCAGGGCATCAGACAGCCCAGAGGCTGTATGTAGACAGGCCCAGTAGGTTCTGAGAAGGCCATGAGTCAGGGCCTCCAGAACTGAAGCCAGGCCTTTGGCCCTTGGCATCCCTGTTGTGTAAGGCATTTCTCCTTCATAATTATCTTTATAGCATGTTGTTAAGGCACGGTGCATGGGTCATCCAAGACCTTGAAGAAGTTATGCAAACACTCTGCCTGCTGTTCTGAGGCATCGAAATGTTTCAAATTGAAACTTCCTGGCTCAGCTGAGACATGCAGGGATGAGCTATTGAATGCTGGGAAATGACCTTCAGAATAACAGATAACCAGTTAGACTGCTCTGATGATATCTATTCCTGTCTGTACACAATTTGGTAGTCTTATTATGACTCTTATTTGGTATGAAGAGTCCCTCAGTGGTGCAAATGGTTAATGTGTTCAACTGCTAACGAAAAGGTTGGAGGTTCGAGTCCACCCAGAAGCACCTTGGAAGAAAGCCCTGGCGATCTACTTCCAAAAAATCAGCCATTAAAAATCCTATGGAGTGCAGTTCTGCTCTGACACACATGGGGTCACCATGAGTTAGAATTCACCTGTTGGCAACCTGTGTTTAGTAAGAGCTGAACACACAGCATGCTCCCTCGTAATGAAGAGCAGAAGGATGTCACACTGGGATGAATGCAGCTGGCTACTTGGTTGCTCCCACCCCTTCTCAGGCCTAAGGCTAACAAGACGTGTGTAAAGGTATGCACACGGTTGCAGTCTGTGCCGTACCCAGGAGTTCTAAGTGCTCCTCTCTCGGTGGCCGGGCTTTGATCTCCACAAATTCTCCATTGGTGTACTCTCTGTAAACCACCTTCTTGTACTGAGAGCCAATCCAGTTTTCAGTGTGGTTCATAAATATATCTCCGTGTCTGCAAATTGGAAGCATAAGAAATTAAAATTGTTAGAAGGTGGAAAAGCCTTGAGCATGCTGAATAACTTGGGGGTACTTCAGAGCTCTTTCATTTTTCAGAGCTTCCCAAACCTGGCTGTGATCAAGATCTCGCTGGGGAGCTGAACTTTTTGCACCAGTTTCTTTGGGAGTGGGGTCAGGAGTCTGCATTTTAAAGCTTCTCGGGGGGATTCTGAAGTGGACAGCCCAGCATGGGTCCAGGATCCACCCTTACGAATCCCTGCTCTAAAACCCCTGCTGGGTGCTGAAGGGAGCTGGCCTTAGTTATAGACTCTAAAGGGCCCTGTGAGGTTGCACTTCTCTTCTTGGGCCTAACTAACCTCACAAACATGCACACACATGCACACACACACACACACACACACACACACACACACACCCTTTACCACCCCGAAGTCCTCCAGATTTCATGTGTATCTTTCTGTACCTTGTTACCCTTTCCAGTTTGAAAGAGCTCAAGAAAGCCTGTGAGTTGTGTATTGTGCATATGCCTCTGTACAAATAAGTATAGATACATGAACATGTATGTTTAATCTATCTCCACGTCTCATCAATTTTATCTCCTAAATATAGTGTCTTACATCTTCCATTTCCCTCCATTAAACTGCCTGCCGTCTAATCTCAGCCACCTACATCACTTACCTGTATTACCTGGAATTGTTCCTAACCATCTGTCTTTCCACCTGTACTCCTCCACTCCATCTATACTCCTCCCTTCTATCTTTTCTCCACACTGCAGGCAGAGGGATCCTAAATTATACATTCAACCAGCTTGGTGCTTATAGAAAACCCTTTCATGGCTCTCCACAGTCAAACTCCTCACTTTGGCTTGCAAGTCCCTTCATTATCTGTCTCTGCTGACTTCCCTACTCCCATTTCTCATCACTGGTCCCCACACACTGTACACTCAGGTCATTGTAAACTTTTGCTCTCTTGAATACTATGTGCTCTCCCTCACCTTCGGGCCTTCACACATGCTGTTCTCTCTGCCCAGAACACTCTTCCCTCCTCTTCAACTGGCCCACTCTTCCTGTCTCAGCTTAAAGACTACTTCCTCCGGGAGGCCTTCCCTGACCACCTGCCTCTCCCCACCCTTGCCCCAGACATAGCTGTATGCTACTTCTGCTGCCCTGTACATCCCCTGTCACAGTGCTCACCAGAGTCAATATGCTTGTTCTAATACCTTCCCCATGGACCACTTTGCACAATGTCTAGCACATAGTAGGTATTAAATATTTTTAAATGTGCATACGCCTTCTACCCTAGCCTGTATGCTTTCCAAGGGAAGACAGTTTTTCATCTGCTTTTATCTTCCAGGAATACTAGTAACAGAGACCCTGAAGCCATGCTCTACAGTCGTCCAGTTTTCCTCCTCTGCTGAACAGGGTGATGAAAATGCATCTACCATATAGGGCTGTTGTGAGAATTAAATGAGTAATTTCTGCAAAGCCCTGTGTTAGCCACATATTAGCACTCTATAAGCCCTTGCTTTATATCATCTCCCTAGGATGCCACGTGATGCTGGGCACAAGCTGATTGAATGGGTCAAGTGTGTTGTGAGGGTCATAACAGATTAAAAAACAAAACAAAACCCTGCTGCTGTTGAGTTGATTCTAACTCATGGCAGCCCCATGTGCTACAGAGTATAATTGCACTCCATAGAGTTTTCTTCGCTATAATCTTTAGGGAAGCAGATGGTCAGGCCTTTCTTCCACCGTGCTGCAAATCATTTGCACCACTCCAGGGCAAGGATAAGATAAGGGTTGTAGAAACCCTAGCAAAATGCAGCAGGTGCTCAGCAGATGGTGGTTATTATCATGAATCCAGGACAGTTAAATCATAGGAACATCAGTCCACAAGTTCAGGAGTACGAGGAATACAACTGTATTTTTCTACAGCGACTTAATTTTTGTTTTCGAATTCCATCCCATTGTACAAACTCCTGCCTGGCCCTGTGTGGACGGACCTATGTGTTGCCTTTGAGATCCTGAGGCTTCCTCATCTGTTCTTAGGAAGACTTAGAGAAGATTTCTGGGTCCCAAGGATGGGGCAGAGGGTCCGTACTGACCAGGACAATAATGTTACAGGGATAACCTGTATTGAGAGGTGGCTTGAAAACCAGATGCATCCCCATGCCATGGCCTTGGGGAGAGGGCAGAGGCATAGCAGTGGGGGTACAGAGCAGGCATTTATCCTCGGGGCTCCTATATACAGAGGTTCTGCAAATGTGTCATGGGGAGAATTGGAATTTCAATTCTGCACTGTTTTATCTATAGAATGTGTTGTACTTTGCACATGTGAACATGCCCTTGTTTCACACTTTTTATTTATTTTCGGGCAATATTCAGAGTGATAAGGGGCAGATTGAGACTGCAGCACATTCCATGCCCCACCCCCTTCCTCTTCTGGCACCATCTACCTCTCTATGTCACCAGGAGAAAGAGTCCCAGAAGACTGAAGCTAGAGTTTCCTGCCAGCCCAGAGGGATGAGGCCTAAAACAAAAATTAAACTGAGTTTCAAGAAAATAATTAAGGCTATGTTTCTTACACACTAGTATCCTTGGCCTAATACTGTACATATCACAACATTATTATGCAATTATTTCTTCAGTTATAACTTTTTCATTTTTAAATGAAATACTCATTTTAGAAAAGGCCAAATTAGTATCAATTTTCCACGGTACTCATTTTATTGGCAGCAAGCAATAGTTTTGCAGGAAAGGGGTGTCTGGTTTAACAAATGGCTTAGTGAGTAATTGAATGAATTTTAAATTCTCCTGTCCTGGGAGTCTCTGGGTGATGCAAATGTTTAATGCACTCGGTTGCTAACCAAAAAGATAGCATTCGAGTTCACCCAGAGGCGCCTCAGAAGAAAGTCCTGGCTATGTACTTCTGAAAAAAATCAGCCGTTGAAAATCCTATGGAGCATAGCTGTACTCTGATACACCTGGGGTCGCCATGAGTCAGAATTGACTTGACGGCAAGTGGTGGTGGTGTTGGAGGCAAATCTTTTCACACTGAAAAGTAAGGTTCTTTTTTTTTTGTTTGTTTATCCATAAGGTGGCACTGTTATACTCTCTTTTCAGAGTGTGAACTCAAACCATAGGCCAAGCAAGAAATGAAAACAAGAATGTTAGTATTAGGAACATTTGCAGGCAGAAGAGTTGGTGTGTGGCCTAGCCATAGAGGATTAGTATAAGGTGGGAATAGGGGCCTAGCAGGGAAGTACAGGGAGGGGAAGGCTGGGAAAGGAGGGAGTAACAAAGAACAAAGAAGAACCTGGGGCAGGAGTGCAATGTGGTATTAGTGTGGTAAAAAGCACGGGTTTGTTGTCCAAAAGATCAACGTTTAATTACAGCTCTGCCACTGACTAGCTGAACAACTTTAACTCTCTGAGTTTTCTCATCTGCATATCAGGACAATAATACTGAGCAGTGAATTGTTGTGACTGGGGGTATTAACCTCTGGGGAGAAGGTCTATAGGTCTGTGTCTGACAGATGCCTCTATTCCCTTCTTCCTCCTCGTTTAACTTTGCCCCAACCTGGGGACCTTGGTTGCCCAGGAGTCTCAGGCTTGGGGCAGGTAGGGGACCAATGCCCACAAATGTGCTCGTGACTTGAACACTGCACTGATTCTATTTGCACATAGTACTGGCTGACAGCACTTTCAAGGAAGAGTCAATCTTGCACATTTTCTGGGTACAGGGCCTAGTAGAGAGAGTTGCTTTTCCTAACCCAACTTGGGGGTCTCTCCCAAGGCAATGGCATCCTACCCTCCTACCCATCATTGGTTGTCCCTCCCACCAATCTGGATAAGGCCAGTACCTCATCCTCAGTTCCCCTTCCTCAAGGTCCTCAGTCTCCAGTAGCCCATCCTCTCACCCTGGATCTGTACATAATCCTTACCTCCCTCTGGAGCCTTTTGTCTCCCAGTCCCACACTCACTGTGAGATCCACCTTTCTCCTAAACCTTTTCACGCTATGCGCTCACTCAAAGGCACATTCATCAGACAGCCACGCAATACAATCAGCCACTGCTGGAGAAAGTATCCAGGCCTGCAAGGGAATGCCCTAAAAACGGCTTCTGACTCCCCTTCTGGGATGGAGACGGACAGCGTTCCTAATTTTTAGTGCTAATAAGTAGAAATCTGTCTGCCAGAATTGTGCAGACTGCACCAGGGCATTTTGAGGTTTCCACGTTTGACAAACGCCTACAGAGCAAGTACAATCCCACCCAAGAGCCTTGGCGGCTTCGCCTGTGGTACCTTTCCCATTTTGCTTCCGAGCGCTGCTTTTCGAACTCCCAGTTTTTGTTAGGGGCATAATCCCATTCTACCTCCTCGGCGGCGATGTAAAAGGTTCTTATCACCCCGTGCAGCTGCTCAGGAGGGTCCTTGTTGCCACAGCTAGTGACTTCATAGATCTGATTCATGCCTCTCATGAAGTGGTGCATGGTGGAACAAAACACCCTGAAAATGCCTGAAAGAGAAACGGCCTGGCTTTGTGCGGGGTTCAATGTTTTTTGGGTTATTTTTGGCAAACCTATATGTTTCATTCCAAAATAAATAAGGAGTAAGGTCGATTTTTTTTAAATAATAATTTTATAGTATTTTTTAACCAGACCCCAAAGGGAATAAATTACTTTGAGTATTTTTACTTCTGAAAAAATAAAATACAATATGAAATTCATTTGCAATGGAAAAATAAATCTCAGAATGTCACTAACAAAAAATGACTTCTCTCACAAAAGGGCATATACTGTATGATCCTACTTGCATGAAACAGGCAAATGTATAGAGACCAAAGGAGCCCTGGTGGCGCAGTGGTTGAGCACTCGGCTGCTAACCAAAAGGTCTGTGGTTTGAACCCACTAGCTGTTCCATGGGAGAAAGATGTGACAGTCTGCTTCTGTAAAGATTTACAGCCTTGGAAATCCCATGGGGCAGTCTTCCTCTGTCCTACAGGGTCGCTATGAGTCAGAATCAACTTGATGACAACGAGTATAGGAGACCAAAGCTTATTGGTGGTTACCAGGGATGAGAAGGAGGGGCAAAGTGAGGAGTCTTTGCTTAAGGGGCACTGAGATTCTGTTAATGGTGGTGGAATAGTTTGGAAAAAGATAATGGTAATGGTTACACAACATGATGAATGTAATCAGTGTCACTGAATTATAAATGCAAAAATTGAATTGGCAAATGTTTTGTTATATGTATTTTTACCACTATATATGTATATATATACTGGGTTGGAATGGACTCGATGGCCACGGGTTTTTTGTTGTTTTTTTTTTGTTTTATGTATCTATATACAATTGTATTTATAGGGGTATACATACATAGTGGCATACATATATATATATAGTGCTATACATATATACAGTGCTATACATATATATAGTGGTATACATATACACATATATATACATACACACATAT